TTTTCCTTGTCCACCATTTCAGGAAGTGAAACCGAGGACGGGGAAACCACGGGAAGTGACGAGTTAGAAGGCTAGCCATATTGTAATTGGATATAAATTTTAGATATGAATCATGATCTTGTATTTGGAGATTTTAATTGGAGATCTATGATATCAGAGAGTTTATAAAATTGATCTTCAGATTTTGGTGGTATCAGAGTGTGATTTGATAAGTTCCGAGCCTTGTGCATTTGTGGGACCCGTCTCACGAGTGCACGGCGTCTGCCACGTCCCCGGATTTGGGTTCTGGGGCGTGACACACTAGCTCTTGTTTTTTCTTATAAAAACGTAGATACCATATTGGCAAATCAATAGATCTCATGTATAGAGAGCTTGTATAGTTAGATTAGAATTACAAATAGCATATTGCGTGGGACTCTTTTTGGGATCTTAATCTCTTGGCAAATTGAATTTAAATCAATTTAGGATTGTAATAAAAAAAACTCATCAATATCAGTAGATAATAATCTTATCCAAAAAATTACAGATAAAATTGTGAGATCCCCCAAACAACAATAATTACATAATAGTCCTCCACCGACTAATATTCTATACAAAGTCTAATTGAATTATAATTCTTATAAAACTGTCATCTAAAAATTAATACGTGTGTTTCTTAAATATATTTAGACAATAAAAACAATTTAGAAAATAAATTTTTGATAAAATTTAATTTTCTTAAACCAAGTTAAAAGAAATATTTAATTGATCGGTCGGATTTTTATCTAACATAAAAGAGACAAACTTGAATATTCTCTCTTATGATAAGAATGGTGGTTCCATATTAAATGACTATAAATCTTCATGTACTTATTATATAGTCCAATATGTCCATATATATCCTATTTACTGGGCATTACCGGTTGACAATATCAAAACTAAATAACTTGTACATAAAATTAAATAACATCTTCAGGCTTAAGGACCTTTTACGAATTGTGAATAGAATAATATTTTAGTTGACAGTAAATAACTTAAGATTAATTTATATGGTCCACTTCAATATTTGTCTTATACAAATACTCACTATGTTACTAAGAGCCTCACTCTAGTAGTTGAAATTTAGCACTCTATCACTTATAATAGTACAATATGTGACAACCAAGTTAAGCATATTGTTCAAATTATGCTTATGATTGTGAACAATTTTAAGATCATCAAATCTTTTTATATGATCATCCCCATAATCAATATGATTAATGTCTGATCTAAGGACAATAACATTTATTAAATCATCCAAAAGAAATATGCATGTAAATAAATAATAATGATGGCTTTGTAAGGCATACTATTCTTTCAATCTCCCACTTGCACTCAAAGCCATTTGGATACATACTTCAAACCCATTTTACTCAAATATTTCTCAAATACCTTTTGAGTTAATGGTTTAGTCAATGGGTTTGCAACATTATCTTCAAAGGCAATTTTTGTCAAATCAATATCTCCTATTTTGACAATTTCTCTCACAATGTGAAACTTTCTTTCAATGTGCTCTGTCTTTTGGTGAGCACTAGGTTCTTTAGCCTGTGCAATAGCTCCAATGTTGTCGCAAAATAAAGTTATTGGAGATTTTATGGTAGGAATAACTCCTAGCTCTTGTACAAACTTTTTTATCCAAGTTGCCTCTTTTGCTGCTTTTGAAGCTACAATATATTCTACTTTTGTTTAGAATCTATTATTGCATCTTGCTTACAACTTTTCCAACTAAAAGCACCATTATTTAAAGCAAAGATATATCCTAATGTAGACTGTCTATCATCAGGATCTGATTGGAAATCAGAATCTGTATATCCTTCAACATTTAAAGGACCTCCACTATATACTAAACAATAATACTTAGTCCTGTTAAGATATTTAAAAATATGCTTAACTATTGTCCAATGCTCTTCTCCAGGATTAGATTGATATCTGCTCACCACAGTTACTGCTTAAGCAATATCTGGCCTAGTACATAACATTGCATACATTAAACTACCTATAGCGAAAGCATATGGGCAATTTTTCATTCTTTCTAACTCAATATCACTTTTTGGTGAAATTTTCTTAGAAAGAGAAATTTCATGTCTAAAAGGTACAAAACCTTTCTTGGAATCTTGCATGTTAAACTTGGCCACATTTAATTAATATATGTTGATTGGGATAAACCCAACAATCTATTGCTTTTATCTTGGTAGAGCTTAAGACCTAAAATATATGTGGCATCTCCTAAATCTTTCATAGAAAGATGGTTAAAGAGCCATAATTTCATTGTGGACAACATTCCTATATCATTCCCAATGAGCAAGATGTCATCAATGTAAAGAACAAGAAAAGTAATAGCATTCCCTTGTGTTTTCTTATAAGCACATGCTTCATCTGGATTTTGTGAGAAACCAAACTGTTTGATTGTCTCATCAAATCTGATGTTCCAACTTCTTGAGGCTTGTTTAAGCCCATAAATGGATTTTTAAGCTTACATACTTTATGTTCTTGCCTTTTGGATATAAATCCATCAGGTTGGTCCATATAAATATCTTCTTGAAGATATCCATTTAAGAATGTTGTCTTTACATCCATTTGCCATATCTCATAATCATAGTATATAGCTATAGCCAATCATATTCTAATTGATTTTAACATGATTACTGGAGAAAAAGTTTCTTCATAATCAATAACTTCTTTTTGATTATAACCTTTCGCTACTAGTCGTGCCTTATAAGTCTCCACCTTTCCATCTGGTCTCTTTTTCTTTTAAAGACCCATTTACAACCAATTGTTTTGATCCCATTAGGACGGTCTACAAGAGTCCAGACCTCATTAGAATACATAGAATCCATTTCGGATTGCATGGCAATAGTCCATCTATTTTTATCAATGTCTGACATTGCTTCTTTATAAGTAGTAGGATCTTTCTCACATTCTTCTGAGATCATAGAATAATTCTCATTCAAAAGAGTCAGTCTTACTAAAGGTCGAACAATCCTGTTACTTTTCCATGTTGGAACCATCAATTCATTCAAAATAGGAATACTATCTTGTATTTCCTTTTGGGAATTAATTTCATCATTAGGCTCCATTATTTCTTCAAGAGTAATCTTATTACTCATGTTGCAATTGTTTGCAAATTCATTTCCCAAGAAAAAAGCATTTCGACTAATGATTACTTTTTGCTCATTTGGATCATAGAAATAATACCCAATGGTTTCCTTTGGATAGCCAACAAAACTGCATTTAATTGTTCTAGAGTCCAACTTGTTTGCACTTTGTTTCTTAACATGTGCGTGACAGCCCCAAATTTTCAAGTGTTTGACACTTGGTTTTTTATTAGTCCACATCTCACACGAAGTTTTAGGGGTTGATGTATTTGGAACTCTATTTAACAAGTAAATTGCAGTTTCTAAAGTATATCCCCAAAATGATGTCGGCAAATCCACTACACTCATCATTGTTCGTACCATGTATAATAAGGCGCAATTTCTTCTTTCTGAAACACCATTATGTTGTGGTGTTCTTGGTGGGGTAAGTTGAGATAAAATTCCATTATCTCTTAAGTAGTCCTTAAACTCATCCGAAAGATATTCACCTCCTTTATCAGAATGAAGACACTTAATATTTCCACCCTTTTGTTTTTCCACTTCATTTCGAAATTCTTTGAACTTTTCGAAAGATTCCGATTTATGTTTCATAAGGTAGATATATCCATATCTAGAACAATCATCTGTAAAAGTGAAAAAAATAGGAGAAACCACCTCTAGTAGCATGGTTTGTTGGACCACATACATCTAAATGTATCAAGTCTAAGACTTCTAAAGCTCTTTCACCTTTTCCAAAAAAGGCAACTTAGCCATCTTCCCTTGCAAGCAAGGTTCACATGTTGGATAGGATTCAATTTTTAAGAAGTCTAAAGAACCATCCTTGACTAATCTATTAATCCTTCCAACATTGATGTGACGTAGCCTTAGGTGCCATAGATAAGTAGAAACAATCTCATCACGTTTTCTTTTGCTCAAAATATTTTCATGGAAATCCTTTTCAATGCATGCAATAGAATTAAGTGCCAGAAAAAGAAAATAAAGACCATCTTGTTTAAAACCTGATGCCATGAATTTATTATTTAAATGAATGGTAACAATATGTTTGCGAAATAAAAAAGAATAACTCTGTTCAGCTAATTTAGAAATAGAAATCAAATTCCTCCTAGCTTGTGGTACATAAAGACAATCTTTTAAAAATAAAATAGTTCCTCCTTGCAAAACTAAACTAAAAGTTCCTATAGAAGTTGTCGCAACTCTTGTTGATGTTCCTAAAAGCAAAATGATTTCCCCTTCCTTCAACCTTCTATTTCCTGAAAACCATGCAATGTATTACAAACATGAGAGGTTGCACCAGAATCAATACACCAAGAATTCTCAATTCCATCCAACAAATTGGTTTCAACAATGAGTAAATTTATTAACATACCTTCTGAAGGTTTCTTGAGTGAAGTTAGGTATTGGTGACAATTTCTTTTCCAATGACCTTTCTTTCCACAAAAATGACAAGCATCTTTTAATTTATCCCTTTTCACCTTTTTAGCATTGCCTCCTAGGGTTTGTTTAAAACCTTTGTTGTTCCCAAATTTCCTTTTCTTGTTTTTATACTTAGGCTTTGAGGACTTTCCTTTTTCTACTATCATAATTATAAGCTTCTCTTTCTTAATTAGTTCCTTAGCTCTTTGTAACATATTACAAAGCTTAAGAAGGGTTACTACCATCTTATTCATATTAATATTCAAAACAAATTGATTAAATGAATCTAGTAGTGAAGATAAGATCGCATCTATCTTTGTCTCATTGTCTATCTCAGACCCAAGAGATTCCAGTTCATTAATAAAGCCTATCCTCATCATGAGATGGTCATGTACTGGAGTTCCTTCAGTCATCTTGGTGGACATAAGCCCTTTCATAGTAGATTGTCTTACAGAATGATTTTGTTGTCCAAACATCTCTTTCAAGATTGCTATTATATCCTTAGTAGTAGCCATTTTCTCATGTTGCTTTTGAAGCCTATTCTCAAGAGATGCTAATATATAACACTTAGCAAAGGAATCATGGTCAAACCATAATTGGTAAGCTTCTTGAGCATTGTCATCTGCACCTGGTTCAAGCATAATTGGTGGTTCTTCATTCAAAACATGAACCAACTTTTCAGCAATGAGTACAATATTCAAATTCCTTTTCCAATCACTATAATTTGGACCTTTGAGATGATTCTCATCCAAAATCTTTACAAGTGAGCTAAAGTTGTTCATCTTTCTACAAAGCAGTAAACAAAGCAATTAGTAGTAAAATACCATAAGATATTTACATGCAAGAACCAATAAGTTGGGATTTTGTATATTTAATGGTTTATCTCACTACACAAGTTTAATAATCCCTCAAATATTAAACTATAATTATACATCTAATGTCTTTAGTGAGAAATAGGAACTTCATCTAATCACCTAATAACCTCTTTTGAAGTATATTAAGTATTTCAATAAAACAGATACAACTTATCTATCTTATACTATTTATAAATTCCTACTTTTTATTTGGCCTCAAACAGAAACATACCAACTACTTGTTTCAAGTCGATATGCCCTATTAGTCAAGTGTAAACCCATTATTCCATATACATCATATTTACTGTGACAGTACCTCCATTTTAGTTGATACTACCACTAGCTATGACATATCTTTTCATCTCCATGAAATAAATAATAACAATGATAATTAAAGATAAATTTTATCCTTTTGGCTTCAATTAATCATCAAAATCATTAACACTATTTATTAATAATGGAAGGCCTTTAGAAAATATATTGAGAAGTTGTTTCCTATCTCTAACACTTGATATTATTATGTAATGAGGGAAAATAATCTTATTACTACAAAACTAATTAAATCTATCATATCGATTAAATTTTTAATACCATTACTAATTTTAATTCATTGGATCAAAATAATCCCTTGATACTAATTATTTAATATTATAGTAAAACTTGACAGTCAAGAAGTTATATAACAGTATTTAATATTAATTTCAAATCTAATTCATAATTATAAATTGCGCATCTAGCATATATCATCATATATCAAATTGGATAAATCAATGGTGTAATCACGTGAAGGCCAAGAATTGAATCAATGCATAAAATATGTGGACATTTAATTGCCGACATCGCACCAAAAGACTTTTGTAATTCTCACATACATATGAATCGATGAATATTCAGTATATATTTGCCAAATCAATATGCAGAGAATTATGTCATTTGTTGCTAGAATATATTGAGAATTAAACACAATCTATTTATGTATAAAAAGACAATTACAGAACATATGATGCAAGGGTCTGCTCTAATACCACTGAAGGGTTTATAATACACTTAATCAAATTAAGAATTATAAACAAATTATTACTCCACATGATACAAATATGTTCATGTAAAAATTAGAAAAACTCACAGAGATTTCACACGCGCAAAATCCTCCAAAAGTTCACACGCGATGCCTTAATTCTATCTCCTAAAGAAGTGATGGCTTCTCCTCCCACTAGTTCCTATTTTTTCTTATAAAAATGTAGATACCATATTGACAAATCAATAAGTCTTATATATAGGGCGCTTGTATAGTTAGATTAGAATTACCAATAGCATGTTGCGTGGGACTCTTTTTGGGATCTTAATCTCTTGGCAAATTGAATTGAAATCAATTTAGGATTGTAATAAAAAAACCTATCAGTAGATAACAATCTTATCCAAGAAATTACAGATAAAATTGTGAAATCCTTCAAACCACAATAATTACATAATAGTCCTCCACCAACTAATATTCCATACAAAGTCTAATTGAATTAGAATTCTTATAAAACTATCATCTAAAAATTTATACATGTATCTCTTAAATATATTTAGACAATAAAAACAATTTAGAAAATAAATTTTTGAAAAAATTTAATTTTTTAAAACTGAGTTAGAGAAATATGTAGTTGATCGGCCGAATTTTTGTCTAATATAAAAGAGACACAAACTTGAATATTCTCTCTTATAATAAGAGTGGTGGTTTCATATTAGATGACTATAAATCTTCATGTAATTATTATATGGTCCAATATGTCCATATATATCTCATTTATTGGGCATTACCGATTGACAATATCAAAACTAAATAACTTGTACATAAAATTAAATAACATCTTCAGGTCTAAGGACCTTTTATGAATTGTGGATAGAATAATCTTTTATCTGACAGTAAATAACTTAAGATTAATCTATATGGTCCACTTTAATATTTGTCTTATACAAATACTCATTATGTTACTAAGAGCCTTACTCTAGTGGTTGAAATTTACCACTCTATCACTTATAGTAGTACAATATGTGACAACCGAGTTAAGCATATTGTCCAAATTATGCTTATGATTGTGAACAATTTTAAGATCGTCAAATCTTTTTATTTGATCATCCCCGTAATCAATATGATTAATGTATGATCTAAGGACAATAACATTTATTAAATCACCCAAAAGAAATATGCATGTAAATAACTAATAATGATGGCTTTGTAGGGCATACTATTCTTTCAAGGGATTGGGGGTATAAGCTTGTAGGGGGAAGGTAGATCAATGAGGCGTATTTTTCCCTTGAGCTTACATTGCCATTGATGTGTTAAGACTTTCAATGGGTGGGGATTGTTGATAGCTCAAGTACCTACTCTCTCCATAGGCTGGCATGATAGATGGGTAATTTAGAAGTTTCCAAGGCTCATTCTGGTGATGTTACTACATCTGTAGCTTTGTTAATGTCTCCTATAGTGATTGGTTTTATAATCTCTAGTTACACTTAAATCTTTTTCATCTTAAGTGATTTATTTGTTATGAACACAAATTCCTTTGTAATTAATGCTTTTGGATAGTTTCTCTTTTGAGGTTGCATACAAATATAATGTATGTTTTCTACTTCATTAATGAAATACTCTTCAACTTTTCAAAAAAAGAAAAAAGTTTGGAAGAAGTACATGAACTGGTGGGGACTTCATTATGTGTTTCAAAAAAGTGGAGCTTATTTGTAGCATAATTTTAGTGTGATCAAACTGAAACTCAAGGGGGTTTGGTGTGACACCCTGAATCTTACATGGGGATGGAATTATGAATGTCATTGGTATATAATTGTCATAACCAACTACAATTAATAACTTGAGTTTAAGTTTTTAAGGGCCCATGGATCTTGGCCTAAAGAGTTGTTAGGCCAGTAAGGGTTTTGGGTAAGGTCATTTCAATTAGTATCATGGAGGTCACCATTTACATGTGTGGGCCATGCTAACTATTATGGCCTATGGTAGTGTGGACCTCACATTATTTGAGGTCGATTTTGTACTTATGAGCTAGTTGGTCTAGTTCTGATTATGATTATACTTGATGATGACATCAAGCATTTAAGTGGGAAGATTGTGACTCCTCAAATTTCACATTGGGATAAAATTGTGAGTGTGATTGGGTATATAATTGACATGACCAACCACTACTAATAACCCCTCCTTTTTTTTAATATTGGGTTGCACAATGAGAAACAACTATCTCTCACCCTTTAACTCACCTCATTAGCATGCTATGTGACTTGAATTCAAGACCACTTACTTTCACTAGAAGAAGATTATTATTAAACTATTTAGGTCATTCACACCGTTATTAATAACTTGAGTTTAAGCTTTTGACGGTCCAAAGATGTTGGCCTAAAGAGTTGTTAGGCCACTAATGGGTTTTGACTTAGGGACCTAGCTCTAATACCATATATAATGACCTAACCTATTATTGATTATGTCTGCTTTAGTCCATTGGGCCTCACAATTTTAAAACGTGTCAATAGAGGGCAATGAGTATTAACCTATATATCTAGCATCTCTCTTGTGTTTTATCCATGTAGAATTTACCTAGAAGTGTCACATTTGGTCTTTGGTATTCCTCACTGTTGCATGGTCTGCATGAATGGCTGGAAACAACTTAATATTTCAACAAATTACTTTTGACCCACCTGAAGTATTTGAGACGCTACAGGTTAGAGTTTTTTGGCTGTTGAAAGGGAAAGATAACAACTATGTCATTTCTTTGTATGACTAGTGCTTAAATTCAAGTCTGCGTTTAGAAAATATAAGATAATATATATGTAAATAAGGGATAGAGAATGGAGATCCTCTTGCACTCCGGAATAGAAGTAGATTATTTATTTGTTTATTTAAAAAAAATTTACTTAACCCACCAACAAAGCCTCTAAAAGAGGCTCTCCTCACCAATATATTGAATCGAGGGAGATTTTTCAAATTTTGCTCAAACAAATAAAAAAGTATCACACCTTACCCAAAAAGAAAGAAAGAAAGAAAGAAAAACTACAGGACCGTGTTTTCATAAAAAACAAAGACTCCTTAATTTTCTATTTTTTTGGTATGTACCACCCAACATCCAGAAGTCCGTTAGGTCATCGACTAATTTGAATTTGAGTCGGATAGGACCAAATGGGTGGCAAAACTCTCTCTCACGAGTTTTAACAAAACTGCATTATCAAAATTTGAAACCAAAACCTCTAATTAAGTTGAAAAAATTTCTTACCAACTCATCCATCCGCTCGTGGGTCCAAGACTCCTTATAATGGTGGGAAATTGTAGGGATTCTAGGGAATCTTAAAAGAAATTCCATTATATATGCTTCGAGAAGTATGACCCACCAATCAGACTATCTTGGGTTTTTTTAAGGAGTATCTTAAATAAAATCTTTCTAATTTTTAGAGGATCTATTTGTTTATTAAAAGAACAAGATGTAATAAATATATTTTTTTATAATTAATTCATATAAAATAATTAAATAATTTTATTTTAATATTATTAT